GAGAAGCAGGAGGAATACAAATGTGCATGAGTGAATATATGGCAATTAAATTATCTGAACTGTGTCCTTTGTTGAAAAAGCTTAACTACAATTAAACCAGACTTTTGCTCCATAATGCCTTTACTCTTCTATGTCCTAATGGGCTCTTCAGTTAAAAGCTGACATGTACTGCAAATACTACCCTGAATCACACAATGTCAGACTGAAACCCTTATATGAAGTGCTACCAATACAAACCTTGAGGTCCCTGTGCATGAGTCCTTTACTGTGCAAAAACTCAACGGCCTCAGCTATCTGCAGGAAAATGTGCAGACACACGGCCCTCTCTCTTTCCTCGATGGTGCATCGCCTGTTCATCCAGTCTTTGAGGTTTTCTTTCCTGCATAGCTGCATCTGAATGTAAAGATACACCTTTGGTGAACTGGGCTGGAGTCTTTCGGCAGTGGTTTTAGTGAGGTCTAAACTTAAAGTGGTTGGTCTTGGAGGAGAAAGAGACAAAGTAGGCTCAGAAGAAGATTCGCTACTGGAATGCTTGAAACCAGTTAGTTTATTAGCATAATGGTTGCCAATACGCAGTCGGTTAGTTTTGAGCTCTTCTTTGCTGGAAGCATTATCACAGCCAGAATCTTCAAATACTATAGAAGAAGAGGTTCTCTCCCTTGACCTTACATAAGAGGCTTCAGAAGGACAGAGTTCAAAGGAGTGCCCCTCATCATTGCCATCCATCGTACCATCTTCCATCTCACAGTCTGTAAGGCAACTGTCCTGAAGGTTGTACACCGACCCACTGATGTCTCCATGGTCAGTTCCTGAGAATCCCAGTGGAGAGAACCGGCTCTCAGATGAACTTGTCTGGCCACAGGAAATCCCTGCGGAAAAAGACCTACTTCTTGGTGGTGAAGGAGCTATGATTTCAATATGTTCTTTTGTAGAGAAGGGGTCCATTTGGCGTATTTTAACTGATGGTGCATCCATTGGGCTCGGAGAGCTGAGTGGCCAATCCGTGCTGGAAGTGGGAGGAATACAAAGGTACATGAGTGAATATATGGTGATTATCTGAACTATGTCTTTTGTTGAAAAAGCTTAACTATAATTAAACCAGTTTCCAAATCACCAACAACATATTTATTACATAAAAATACATTGTATGAGATAAAAAAAAATCCAACCACATTCCATACATTCCTTTTAAAAAATTTAAATTTGAAGGTTTAATTTTATAATTGAAATAGTTAGCTGGAGCTGTCATGCTAGAGCAGCCAAGGCCTTTTGTGCAAAACACAGAGTCCTGAAGAAACTGAAGGATGGGACTTACTAGTGGCCTGAAGCTCCTCTCAAAAATAGGGTAGCAGCTCACAGGGTTTTTTTTCTTTTTTGTGATTTGGGTGAAAGTTTACAGAGCAAATTCACTTTCCATACAGCAGTTCACACACACATTGTCTCATGACATTGCCTACAATTTACCCCAATGCAACAGCTCCCCTCCCACTTCCTC